GTCGTGCATGCCGTAGTGGTTAGACTATTGACTTCGCATCCCTACAAAGCCGGGGTGGATCACGCCGGGTTATTATCGGACCAGGCTCTCATATCACCAAGCACGAAGCGCCGTGACGCATTCGGCGAGTCGCATGAATGGTGTGCTGCGTCCTGCCAAGGGTGTTCGGCATCTTGTGCTTACTTCCTTGCGTATGGATGACAGCTACGTTTTCTGGCGCGTTCACTTCGACAGACTGTTATGAGCACTGTGTACCTGGGGTGCTTTCCATTTTGACACAACGTGGTGCGATCATCCATTTGCGCGGAGTGATAGTTCTCGACCCCGCACAACACAATCTACTCGACCGCCAACATGGTTACCGCAAAAAAAAAGAACCGAGGAGAAAGAAAAAGCGATAACATGGTTGCCGAGCTCACGAAGTGATCGGCTTGTCTTACAACGTACTTGCCAAACGACAAAAACCCAACCCCGATGGCAAACACTGGAGGGAGTGGGGTGTACTCATAGCGTGCATCCCGTAGTGGTTAGACCATTGACCTCGCATCCCTACAAAGCCGGGACGGAGCACGCCGGGTTCTCATCGGACCAGGCTCTCACATCACCAAGCGCGAGGCGCCGTGAGGTATTCGGCGAGTCGCATGAAGGGTGCGCTGCATCCTGCCAAGAGTGTTCGCGGAATCTTGTGCTTACTTCCTTGGGTACTGATGACAGCTGCGAATGACGTAGTTTATTTTCTTGTACTTCTACTTCCAGAGGCGTTATGGGGGAAGGGGGTTGGAAACACGATGTAGACCATCGATTTCCTTTCTTGCTGCCCCTCTATGCGTTGCTTTGGTTGTCCCGACGAACGCAAAGGATTCGAACTTCTCTTGTCATGATGGCTGAAAGCAACCACCAACACTCACACTCTTGTATCCCTGGCCACGCATCTTCTCAGACAACAAAATGGAGAGTGTCAATGTATTTCAATCGAAACCTGCGACCCTCCGATTAGAAATCGATGTTCGTGAATTCTATGCGCTGATCGGCCAACATGTTGGCCCATTTTTTGAAGGAGCCGACGGGCTTCCATGACAACAAGCGTTTGCATTCACTGTCCCAAACAGAGCATTTTTCGTGTCATGTCGTTTGAGATGCCCGTTTCACAAACTTCTGCAGTTCCCTTGTGTATGTTTCTGTAATGTATGTTTCTCACCCTTCGTTTGGGAGAATGTTTCCAGCTACTGGAGCACGATTGGTTGGTGAATGGATGGGTGCGGATGACTGCGTTGTCTATTCCTTACGCAGGCCGGTGCTGCTGTGGCTTCGAAGGGATCTGACCCTGACGACGACGATGCTTCCGGTGTCGACAGCAAGGTCACCTTCGAGGACAAAGCCAAGTTCAAGGACAACTACATCATCGTGAGTCGGTGGTTGCCAAGCTTCCCTTTCTACTCCCAAGCAGATCCATAGAATCAGTCGTTGACTCGTTTTTGTTGTCTGTCTTGCGGGGTGCAGTGCCCCGCGTTTGATATCGGCCCGAGCCAGCAGGCTACCCGTGGTGAACTGGCAATGACCCACGGGTTTTCGTGCGGGAAAAGCAGGTTTGACCCGTGTTTTTCTCTCGCCATCGTTACAAGCGTCCATTCCGTTCACGACTGTCGTTTTTCCCCCGGATTGTTGCACTCCTCTCGGCGCAACGGTACATGGTTACCCACGTTTTGTGTGGTTTGTGACGGCGTTAGACCGTCCGTCGTAACGTTCCCCCCTTTTGGGACCTTCAGGTCAGTGTTGTTCCCCCTTGTTCAGGGCTTTCCTCCAGGTGTGAACGGTGGCGTTCGTATGGAACGACGGCAGCACATGGTAGCGACCTCTTACCATTTGTCGCATGCGGCAAGGTGTCTCATGCGGCAAGGTGTTGCTGTTGTTGTTGCTGTTGTTGCTGTTGTTGTTGTTGTTGTTGTTGTTGTTGTTGTTGTTGTTGTTGTTGTTGTTGTTGTTGTTGTTGTTGTAGTAGTAGTAGTAGTTGTTGTTATTATTGACACTTTTTGGTGAACCTATGGACGTATCTGTCGTGGTGCCGCAGCCCCCCCGCCGGCCAACCAGCAGCAGCGAATACGTGGTCGACGAAGACAAAGGGGGCGGTGCGCTCGCGGCGCTCGGCATCACTAGGATTGACTTCCAGGACACGGCGGTTTTCAAGTAAGTTTCCTCCCGTCGTATCTCCGTGTTTTGTTCTTCTCGCGTTGTGTGTCTTCGGCCATGCCGGGAAATAATGTTGTTTAGTGTCAGGAGATTCCCATTGTTTCATACGTCGATTCCCATTGTTATCATGGGTGGATCACAGATGTCGACAGAAAACCAGGGGCCGACTACAAAATCAAAATTCGGCCTCACATCGCCGCCGAAACCGAAAATATCCACACTTCCGCGAACATTTCCATGTGCGTTTTTAGGACAGAAGGCTAACCACGTGTGTACCATCTCTGTTACAAGAACGAAATAATACCACGCAATGTCCTGAATTCGGTCACCCGGTTTCTCTTTGTGTCAGGCGGAACGAGGCCATCAAGGGCGGCGCCATCCTCAATTCGGGTTCGATATCCTTCCTTTCAGAAGCGAAGCTCGTTACTGCGGACAACGTAGCTTCCAGCGCGGTGAGAACTCAGGCATGGAGGCATGGTCCAGGGCGGATCAACCTAGAAAGCACCTCACGTACTCCTGTGTTTGCTGGGAGACTGCAGCGATCGCAGATACGACCCTCATGCATCACGTTACGATAGACAACCCGTGCTGGACGATCTGCGTGCGGTTCTGTGGCGGCGGCGTGGTGTGGAAATTCGACGTCCTGAGCTTTAGCGAGGGGAGTACACACGAAGAAGCAGTATCATCATGACTGCCCGTCTCATCCTGTGGCCATGCTGTCAAGAACACCTATACATGAGTATTGAACGGTCGTGCGAAACTGTCCTCTCTCTCAAGACGATGTGCGTAACATACCGAGGTCCGCATATTTATCGAGCAATTTTCAAGGATGCAGGCCGACCCGCCATGCGCTTCGATCCACGCCTAGTGGCTTTTGAAATGCGAGTCATTCCTCTCTGTCGGGTGATAATACTGAGGTCTCCCGCTTTGGTTTGGTGGGAATGCGACGGTCTTCGACCCCAAGGTTACAGCACTGCACAATGAGCGAGGAGCTCCTTGTCCCATGCTGCCGGTAGCTGACGCACCTTCAAAATCTCTCCGTTCCTCTAACCCCAACTTGCCCCTGTTGTCGCGGCATGTGCGTGTAGTGCGCCGACATCCTGAACGACGACAGCGGGGTGGTCAACATCGGGACGACCACCTTTTTGGGAAGCAGCGACAGTCTTTGCGAGCGCACCGCCGTCTAAGCCTGACGGGCGGAAGTGTTATTGAGGGAAGGCAGTCGCATGGGACGGAGGGATTCCGAGATGGGGGGATGTGCGTTCGTGTGAGGATGAGCGGGGGGGGGGGGGG